GAAGGAAGATGAATAGAAATAAATGTGGCAAACAAGTTGAGATTTCATGGGAACGAAAATTTCATTCTCTAGCCAAAATCTTGATTTTTGAAAAACTCAAAATTCCACTTGGCACTTTCACTATCTAAAATTCTTACAAAGCTATTCTTGACGAATTTGCTCATTTGTGAAAATGGGATCAATTTCTTTTTGAACAAAAAAAAAAAGAAAAAAAAAGAGGAAGATTCAAAAGCAAAAAGTGAGAAAAGAAGTTTGTGTTTTGGGAGTTGCTTTAAAAAACAAAAAAAGAAAGAAAGAGAGCGAGAGAGAGAGAGAGAGAGGGAGAAAATTTATGAAAGGGGCATCTTAATTGTATTCTATGTCAAATTGGCAGTTGTACTCATGGAAGTTAAATCACATTATTTGTTCATATAATCCATTGTGCTTCACAAGACTTTTTGTTAATCTTACCCATGATTGTCTTAAACATCACTGCATTTGACATTGATTTCAACATCTTTGAAAGGTTCAAAAATCATCAATTTTTTTTTGTAGGATTTGACATAAAAAAAAAGGAAAAAAAAAAAGAAAAGACAAGTAGATACATTGAATTCTTGATGATAGTATGGGTGAATCAAACATGTTCATAATATTCAAAGTATCATCAGAGAGGGAAAAGGTTACTGACGGTTCAAGAGGACACTGAAGGACATTTGAATCTCTTGAGCCTGTAAGGTGCAAAGTCATGATATTGATGAAAGTTCAAGATGGAAATGAACATTGGCAAGAGGCACAAATTATTTGAGGTTTGAAGAAATTCTAATTTGATTCAAGATCATTGTCAAAAAAGAAGAGATCAAGTTGCATCTCAAAAAAAAAGAAAAAAAAAAAAGAAAAAAAGATGAAGTTGGCATCTAGGAAAATTACATCCTAGATGGAGTTGCATCTCAAAAAGGAAAAGATGAAGTTGCGTCTTAGAAATCACATCCTAGATGAAGTTGCATCTTAAGAAGAAAAAGAGATGAAGTTGCATCTTAGAAAAGAAAAGACGAAGTTGCATCTTAGAAATCACATCCTAGATGAAGTTGCATCTCAAGAAGAAGAAAAAATGAAGTTCAATCTCAAAAGAAAAAAAAAAGGGACGAAGTTGCGTCTTAGAAAATCACATCCTAGATGAAGACCGCATCTGAGGAAGAAGGATAAGATGAAGACCGCATCTTAGAAGTCACATCCTAGATGAAGACCGCATCTCACAAAAGATAAGATGAAGACCGCATCTTAAAAAAAAAAAAAAGACCACATCTGAGGAAGAAGAAGAGATGAAGACTGCATCCCACAAACGATAAGATGAAGACCGCATCTTAGAAGTCACATCCTAGATGAAGACCGCATCTAAGGAAGAAGGAGAGATGAAGATCGCATCTCGCAAAGGAGAAGATGAAGACCACATCTTAGAAGTAACATCTTAGATGAAGACTGCATCTGAGGAAGAATAAGAGATGAAGACCGCATCTTGCAAAAGATAGAATGAAGACCACAAGCTTTCACTTATAAATTGTTTTCAAAGCTTAAAAATTGGGTTATTCTTTTATTCTTTACTTTTCTTTTTACAAAAAGAAAAGTAAAGAAGGGGCAACTGTCATAACCCAATTTTTACTGAGGGACTAAATGCTAAAATCAAAAGTCAATGAACTATTTTTGTAAAGTTGGAAACTTGAAGGGGTTAAGATCTCTCTCTACCGCACCCCTTCTCTCATCAACTCCAGCATGATGCCAAGAAGATTTTCTTTGAAGATAAGCTCAACCAATTGAAGGATTTGGATAAAGATGGACAAACCATAAGTCATCAACTCCAAGGAGTCCGAAGTCGATTCAAATTGGGAGTCCTGATATTTTGAAGGTATGAATCTAGCCTTAAAAGAGGGAAAATGTGTAAAGACTAGATTAATTTTAAGATTCCAATTTCAAATAGAATTAGATTATTATCTGTAATTTTGGGGATTGGGATTAGAATTTAGAGTTAGAAAAAGGATTAGAGTCCTCTCTATTTTTGTATAAAAGGGGGGGGCACCTTCGGCTTTGAGGAGGAGGAGAATTGAGGAGAATTGAGGAGAAAAATTTGAGGGAAAATTGGGAGAAAAATCGAGGGAGAAGAGAAGAGAGTTGGCGAGCCTGGAAGGAACATTGGAGAGATTGAGAGAAAGTGCAGCAGC